CCCCCCCCCCCCCCCTCCACCCACCGTCCCAAAACCATCCAACAAGAACAGTGCAGATAACGTAGAGGAATATCGCCGCACGTCTTTGTCACTTGTGACTTTAATTGTCGGACACGAAATGCTATTTCCGGTATCGCCCGATGCGGCGCTTCAAGTATTTCCGTTGCTGATAAGCTATCGCACGCTACCTCGCAAAATTACCCAGACTCTCGTGACTCCGTCCACTTTGACGTTGACGGTCGAACTGAACTTGCCCTCGCGTATCACGAATAGTTTGTTAAACGTTTGTCGCGTCATGGAAGATTTATTTCATTCCTTGTGTGAATTACCAGTTTTTTAGTGGCGCCGTCAACGAGGTACGCGGCCACGGGATGAACTATTCTATTGATCTTTACGATCGGATTTTATCCCGTCTCCTAATAACAAAAAAGTTCCGAAATTACTTATCCGAGAGTGTTACGTACATATACGTTCACGGCTCGTCTATGGATAATAGCGTTACTATACGCGATACGCACTGCGCGATATCTGGATCAATATTGTTTCTAATATCCAATAGGTATCACTGCCTAGTGTTGCTTAAATATTTGCTAGCCACTTCGAAACGTGTATACCCCAGTATGCTTCCACCTTAAAGTCTTATACGTATATATATAGATATATGTGTTAGAATAAATAAGAATTGCCTACGTATAACCATAAGCGTTCGTTTTCTGTACTTTAGGTAAAAATGAATATTTATACGATATAAACATACATACGACTCTTGCGTATGATAACCTGCATCGTGCATGTTATTACATAATACACGAAGCTAGTAATTAATGGAGCGAATGTGTACGCGTATTGTGAACTGCTATCGCGTTACAAGGCAGGTAATTCCAAGAGTACTTAGTTTTAGATAAATAAGATATTATACATTACGCGCCCTCTATTCTTGGATAACTATGAATAATATGCATTAACGTACAACTTTATGACCTACCCGATTCTAGCTGTTTGCATTTTATCTACTGATACGACACCGTTTCGATGTATATGAATGACGCATAAATTGTGCGTGTGTGTATATGCATACTAGATGCAAAAGGATTGTCAAACATTAATTTTTGAAAATAATTTTTATCCATGACATGCGAGTCATACGAGTCATATATGGAAGTTCTGTGTATCGTAATTGTTAGGAACTGACTTTCGTATTATCGAATAACATTGCTTTTCATTATAGTCGATAGGAATAGATGACGTAATGCCAGTATCGATATTCCGTCGATTTAGACATCAATCAAGTGGTTATGTAACATATCGATGTGAATAATGCAATGACGCATTCGCGTTGATGTAACACGTTATACATATAATACAGATTAATAATGAATATCCAATTGTCAATACTAAATACAAAAATGTTGATTTCTCCAAATACAATTAAGTAAATTAGAAGTAAATCAGTTAAAATTCATTAAATAACCGAATGAATCTAATTTTTTTTAAAAGTACAAGAATTCGTATTATTGACATCAGAGATAAAAAGTGTTGGAACAATGTGAGACAAAGTAAAATCGAAATTTCCGTAGGGGATGGACATGCGTCCTTGCGTGTAAAATGTTCAAGACTTGTCGAATTGACGGATCCACTGGTTCCCTTAGGGTCGAGGTACGAGTCGATACGTCCACGTCAAAGGAAGTAAAGCGAATATATCGGTCCATAAATTTTCCTACCGCCAAGACGAGGGTCGATTCGATGAAGTATTTTGGTGTGTTTATACAAATTCAAAGCATCGACGATGCTAGTTTCTGGTTATAGGTATCCAGAAGGGACACACAATGCGATGCAGAAACGAAACGGTGTGTTTGTGTGTATACAGGGTGTGCATTATGAAACGCACTGTAGTAACAGCGTTACATTCCTTTTCAAATTCTAATGAATACGTGTATTTTCATTTTTTATTTCATATATAAAAATTTCGAGATAATCAAGGTCGAAATTGCAGTAATGCGACCAATCAGAACGCGTTTAAACGAAACGTAGAAGACGTCCAGAGCCAGCCCGCAAGGCCTGCTTACACTAGGCCAATAACACTAAGAGTATCGTCTTTTCATTTTTTATTTCATATATCAAAATTTCGAGATAATCAAGGTCGAAGTTGCAGTAATGCGACCAATCAGAACGCGTTTAAACGAAACGTAGAAGACGTCCAGAGCCAGCCCGCAAG